AAGGAAGGAAGGAAGGAAGGAAGGAAGGAAGGAAAGAGAGAGAGAGAGAGAGAGAGAAAGAGCTTCTGATTTTCTTTTTTAAGAAGTTATAAGTATAAATTTACCTCTTACTCTAGGGTTATAACATAACTTTCATTTTTTCTACAATCTATGTTTTTCTAATCATCAAAACCATATATCGTAAATTCATTTTTTTCTGTTTCATGCAAAAAGTCTATAAGGGATTTCCAGTCAGCAGTAAACTTTAATAATGTCTTTTCTCTGATCAACAATGTCAGTTTGGCCATCCTCTGAGTCATCAGTCATTTCTCCTCCCTCTGCAGCCCTCGACCGCAGAAACTAGGGCCCCAGAGAAAGGCATCGCTTTTGATTGCCAAAATGTCAGCCATCCCCACATGGGAGGTGTGGCCTTCAAAAGACGCACGAGCCAGTGAGTTTGTGCTTCTCCAGCTTAAACTGACGTGGCCCGAGAAAAGGAACGTTCTTCTCTTGCTTCTGGAAGTGTCATCAGTAAGACCATCCTATCCCCTTATTTGCTACAGGTGGCTGGTACACCGGGCCCAGGCTGTCCAGGCGGCTACGAGAAAACCTGATGATATTTACTAGCTCTCTGGAAACATTAGCCCATATCTGGGGTACGTGTGATCATCCTTGCCCCTACAGGAGTGGATGGTGTGGCAGGAGGTTGGAAAAGACAACTGTGCTTAGGACGGAAGTGATTGTAATATGGCAAAGAACAAATAATTTCCCCAGTATTTTATGATGAAGCCCCCTGTGGGATGGAGGGTAGAGCTGTATAAATCTTCCCATTTCCATTTCTTCTTGCTTCTGATTTTTTACCCATCATGTTACAATTTTTTCTCCCTGTCAAACTTGGTTTCAAAGTTTGCACTAAGATCTATATTTGGTTTTCTGCCAGTTTCCTCTGAACATACATCTTTTTTCATTTTCAAATGTGTCTAATGCACAGTGTGGCAAATTGTTTCTGCCATTCATTCATTCATTCATTCATTCATTCATTCATTCATTCATTAGATTTATATCCCACTTTCCATACAGGAGGTCAAGGTGATGTATATAGTGCTTCCTCCTCCTATTTTGCCCCAAAACATTAAAGGCATTTTGTACATCAGCCTTGTTTGTTCAGACTTTGCCCTGATATGTTCGTGTTGTTGTGTTTTAGAAAAAGAAAGGGTTGCATTGCAAAATTTGTAGAAGTGAAAATTTCAAAAGGATAACAGTTTGGTTGGTGTAAATTTGACACCTGGTGACTTCATGGACAAATCCAGGTTGTTTCCTCAGGAATAATATGGAACTGGTTTACCCCAAACTACCCCTGGAACAACAACAATAAACTTGTGTGCTGCCCAACTCTCGACAACTCTGGGCAGCTCACAACAATTTTTGTTGATTTCTCAATCTAGTCTATTGGTTTGAAAAATCCAAATCAGATACATTTGTGTTCAAGGCAAAAATCCTTGATAAAACACAAGCTGCTTAGCGGCTTTGGAGGGAGGTCTAGAACCCAGGGTTTTTCAAACTGTGTTCCATAGAACTCTGGGGTTTCATGAGAATTTGATGGGGTTCTGCAACAGACTAGATGCAAAAATAAAAAAGTTCACTCGAATACAATTTTCTATCCCTAGAAATTTACCTTTTGCTCCAGGATTCTGGGATTATTATTTTTTTTTAATTTCATTTTTAACTAACAGGTTCCTTGCAGCCTGAAAAAGTTTGAAAACTCCTGACCTAGACGAAGAATATTGTGGAGGAGAAATAAAGATATATTTCTCCATCTGATAAGGAAGAGAGTTTATAAAATATTTTAAATATGAATGGTGTACTAAAGAATCTCATGTTTTGCTGCTTTGGGTCCAAATGGTGGGTGTATCTTTTTTGGTTCAGGGCCTGCAAAAAAGGGAGGCTCTTAAGCTAAGCTAAACTGAAGGTTCCTCCCTCTTTTTTGAAAGTTTTAGTACAAAGCTGAGAATGCCAGGTGTGTGGAAGGTAGTTGCTCAGATGCTGGGAACAGTTTCTGTGAATGCAGCAAGAAATATAGTTGAGATGATCTTTTGGCAAGAAGGAGTTGAAAATTAGAGTTGTGCTCTCTCTGCTGCTGAAAGCAAAACCAAATTAAATTTTGTGTGATGGTGAAAATTCAACTGTTAAGCTGGGATCAATGTTTTGGGTCCGTTTGCAGCAGGAAGCTCAAAGGCAAAGGATAAGATGATCCCTAATATTCTTCAGGTGACAAGACTCCTAGATGAATTTTACACATGACATTTAGTGTCAGGACAACTTTCTTCATCCCATCTGAGATCAGGGAGCTAGCTGAGGGGTCTCAAGGAAAATAATCTCATCTCCAGTATCTGTGAGCTCTGGTCGTTGTCTCACCCTTCCCAATGGTAGGGCCAGGCATGATTTTCATACTACATTTTCATAATCCTTCAGTCCCCTACTGGGACTCCTCCATCTCTCTCCAACCACTGAGAATTTAGAGCAAGTTTATATACAGCCTCGAGACGAGAAAGTTATTTAACTTTTTGTCTTCAGGATTTATGGATTGAAGGTTTGTGTAAGGTTGTGGTTCATATCACATCCAAAGCCACGCTATGTTGGGTGAACATTAGTGGAGAATAAACAGGCTAATTATACTTAATTTTCATTAAATGTAAGAGAAATTAAATTAAAAAAAAAAAATTTTCTCCTGGCCTCACCAGTTACTTTTTGGACTGCAGGCCATGGCAGGCCACTCTAAAGCCAAGTACAGCCCTCTGCCTGGACAAACACTGCACATTCCTGACAATTGTGATTGATTCAATAAACCAGGGTTGAACAGGCTATGGCTTGTTGTGGTTTGTGAATTCAGACTAAATGTATTGAGCATCATCTTCTCTCTTCACAGGTGTTCCTGAGAAGGCGGGCTTTTATTTCCTATGTGGGGTATCTGGAGGGCTGGTGTTTCTCCTCCTCTTCTTTGTCCCCAAAACAACCTTCTTACATGACCTCAAAGAGGTCTTCAAAAAGGCAGACTTGACTGACACCTTACAGCTGGAGACAACCAAGTTGCGAGATGACCAGGATGAAGAAAATCGGGAGGACAGCTCATCTGAGACCTCTTTCTGCCATCTTACCCGCAATTACCGGAACACCAACATCTTTGGACCAGAACTGACCGCAGCTTTGGAGGGGGCAATTGATCAAAGAGGCCACGAAGGAGATGAGATTTGGATCCCCAAGGAATCCAGCCCATATGCCATCCACAAAATTAAGTCAGCCACCAAATGAGAAGAACCAACATTGGAAGCTGGGCAGAAAGCTGCAGTGGGTCAATATGTGAACTTCAGGGTTCATGAGGATGGAGGATAGTTTGTTACACCACCCATCCTGAAAGGCTTGCCAGGGGAGGGAGGATACAGCAGGGATGGGGTACCTGCTGTATCCCGTAGGCATCCTGCAGACCCAGGGGCTCCTTTGGCCATGATTACTGAAAACTGATGGCACCATTTCTTGCCATTTTGAGATGGGAATCAGATGGGCATATTACAGTGAGAAACTGAAGACCTCAGGCCCTTGGCGAGCCATGTGAATGATGAGGCTCCAATTACTTTGGGACTATTTCTTCCTTTGCCCCTCAAAATTAAATGCACCCCATGTTCATCCTTGGGGTAGATTGTTAATAATGTAACATTAAGAGATTCAAGTAAAGGTAGTTTTCTATCTGGAAGTTATTAGGTTGCTGAGTGGGAAACTCTGTGAATTAACTCCTTCCAAATGAGGTCAACCAGGTAGGGAAACCTTGACTTCCAGATGTAGTGTCTTTAAATCTTGAAATTATGCTGATGAAAAAAACCCTGGAAGTTGACTGCCACTCATCAGGAGTTACCAAGGTTGGGGGAAGTCTAGAGTGGTTCTTACAGATTCTCTCGCTTATTTTGCTGAGGGAGCCCCGGATGTCTGCCTCAAAACCTTACTCTGATAGCCCCAGGGATGGGTGATTTGAACACACCTTTTAGGCATTCAGAGGCCCGTAGTTCTTGTATTCTGTATATGGCACTAATGCTGTTTGTGTGTATTACATTTCTTGCATTCATAACCTGACCTAAAACCATAATGTGAGGATTCACATAAAAATAACACATGAATTGATGTTTAAGCTGTGTGCTTTCACAACTAGAAGGGTTTTTAGAGGCATTGTTGTTTGTGGCACACAATTCTGAGTTCAGAACTTGGGCAAATTCACAATGGAGTCGGTTTAGTTCTGCTTACCCTGGGCATATCATAGTTTATTAAATTAACCAGCTAATTGTGGTTTATTCAATTAGACCCAGGTTAAGCAAGCCATGGATTAACACAGCAGTAGTCCTTTTTGTTACTCAGGCCAATCACTGTTACATAAAATATAATGTAAAAGTATGATTTTAGAAATCAGAAAGTGGGCCGAACGCTGCCATTTCTGAAAAATTGTTCTTCCAATTGTATTTTAAATATCATTTGCCAGCTCTGCTTATAATGCAAGCCAATTGCATCAGTTCCCATTTGACAGGGCTGAGGGTTCAAAGGACTCTATAAAGTAGACATGAAAATACAAGGTTTTACCCAAAATATGAACCTGGACCCCATGGATTTTAGTGTGCAGTGCTATTAAAATTGGTAACTTCAAATTTAGTGATGTTGTCAGTGTAACACTCAGGCAAAGACCACCTAGTGTTCTCCAAGTATCTCAGATGACTGCTCCCAGTTTCCTTTTTTTTTTTTTTTTTCCGGTCACTGACCATGGTGATGGAAGCAGGTGGAACCTGCTGTCAAAATATCTAGGACACTAAATGAACATTGCTAGGCTACTGTTCCTTTCAACATGGTCTGTGAAACATCTGAATGGGCAGCAAATGGTCCTCCAGATGGTGCTGTCTTCATCACTTTATATAGCCTATGATTTGGATTGATGGAGTTCAGTTTGAAGACATCTGGAAGGCCACGCGTGCCATGCTGATTTTAGGAAACCATCCTGATAAGAAGTAAGGAAATGCGCTAAACTCCAAAAATTGAGAGAATTCTACAAATGTATTTGCAAAGGATATAATAACATTTGCACTGTTTCTCTTCCACTTAATTTCAGTGGAGTGAAATCTATTTAATGGACCCATTGGGGAGAGGGAGAGTCCATTACTGCCAAATGTTCATTAAATTACAAAGTGTTGGTGATGATTTATGTCATCTGAATCCATTGGTGTCATTTATATAATGTCATTATGCAAATGAAAATAGCTGCAATTGATGTAAAATTCATGTAAATTAACAGGTTTTGGATGCAAGGACTCATCTGTCACTTCCGTGAAGAGATGTTCAGATGGAAATCTGCATCTGAAGTCCACTAAAAGAGGTATCTTAAATCAAGATTTCACTGTGCGTTTTTTTTCACCACCTGTTTTTGCTCCTTATGACTGTTAGTGGTTTACTTGAACAGCTGGTCCTAGGTCTCTTCCCTTGTATAGTTAATATGTGGAGAATGCACATGTGATTTCTGTGTATATGTGGCTTTTCAAATGGAGGGGCATCATATGTATGCAACTGGTGGAAATGTTGGTGCCCCAAAAGAGATGTGGTAGGTGGGCACTGGCTTCACCCCCAAACTTCTGAAGGAGTCTTGTATACCCTACAAATGTCTTCGTTGTTGCCGTCCTCACCATGCCCAGAGCTCAAGAGTTCTTCATCAAATGACCAGCCAACCAATTACTGAATTGCAATTCAGCATCCAGAGTATCTCCTGGTTTCCCCTCAAACCCTTCTGTGAGGCCAAAATGGTCCTTCTGCACTGTAGCTCAGCGTTAATCACCTTACTTATACCCCACCCCACCTCACCCATCTCAAGGAGGACAACAGGAACATGGTGGCAAACCTGGGCTGCTACAAATACTACATGTGGGTGGGGGGGCCCTGCATTAATCAGGTCAAGGATAACTTCTAGCCCTCCTTCTAACCTGTCTCTTTCAGCATCCCTGACATTAAGATGCTGATGAGGTTGGGAGGAATTTAGAAACCATCAGAGGGTCACTGGTCCTCCCTTTTGAACAAATTAATCAGTGAATCTAACTTTCCCCAACTAAATGGGACTTCCAGCCTTAGAATAAAAGATGTGTACATTTGCAACCAATTGCAGGAGATTGAATCTGAATGAATCTGAATCTCAAAATACTCCATCTGCTTGAAAATCTCTGCCATGACTCCTATTTCTTCTTCTCTATGAATACAACTGACACTTGGGACTGCTTGCTACCAACCCCTCCCTCCCACTTTATGTCCAGCTGGTTCCAGGAGATTTCATCACACTTAGTCAATCTTTTAAGACATTTAGATAATGTATTTATCAAGCTTGCAAGGAGTAAAAAGTACAACATTCAGAAATATAAAAAAGTCTCTCTTATGCATTTCTGGATACTGTACAAGGGCAAGAATTAGAATTCAAAAGTAGATGTATACCCTGCATTTCAAATTTGCATCACCATGCATCAAGGAATTAAAAAAAAAAACAGATTTCTGTCCATCTTGCAACTGGCTTATGGCAAGACCAACTAGTATAAATACAGAGCTAGCTGGATTTTAATATAGGTAGGAGACTTAGGTGACCTTGGCTGTACATAAGCTCCTCAAGGAAAACAAGATGTTTAAATCCACCTAGGTGTACAAGGAATGAAAATGAATTTCTAAGGGTTAAGAGAAGGTGTAGGGAAACTTAACATACCTAAAAAGTATTAGAGAAGCAAAGCACTGGCATCTTCTAGCGAAAGGAAAGATTTTGGTTCTTTTACAAACAGGTTGTTAATGTCAATATTGCATTATCTAGGGCAGTGTTTCTCAACCTTGGCAACTTGAAGATGTGTGGACCTACTCCCAGAATTCCCCAGCCAACTGGCTGGGGAATTCTGGGAGTTGAAATCCACACAACTTCAAGTTGCCAAGGTTGAGAAACCCTGGTCTAAGGGCAACCCTAACCATGTAGACTTGCGAATCCAGTGGAGTTCAGTAGGATCAGATCTTTAATAAACCTGGTTAGAGTGGTTCAAAAATGACTTCTGGAGGACAAACAAGAGGTTCTGAAGCAGTTCTCTACATGGAAACCAAAGTGCAAAGTCTCATGCTAGCATGAATTTGCCAGCTGAAACACAACCATAATCAAATTCAGGTTACACAATGATGAACTTCTTCATTTCCCTGTCTTTTTTTCCTGAGCAGTCCTATGCAACAATGTACAAGGTTTAATGACATTTCATCGTTTTCTTTTCTTCTTGGTCACATACCCATACAATAGTTTCTCTCTGATACCTCCTGAGAAAAAGCCAGGAATATCTTTCAATTCACCTTGGATCATTTGACAAAAGGCAGATTATGTCTCCTTGACATTCAGGGGCACATGAATGTGCCTGGCCAAAATATATTTGTAGGATTCATCAACACAATCCATTAAAGTGCTTCTTTAAAGTCTGTGGTGGGAAATCACAATCCATGGTTTAAGAACATCCTCTCCTTCTTACGATGCAGGGGAGATATAGTTAGAAGAAAAGGATTTCAGGATTTCAAAATACCCTCAGATAGCCAAAAGTATTTTGCTTTTCAAACACTGGAAGGGAAAGAAAAGTAGGGTTTTTTTGGGGGGGGCACATTCATTTGGCTGTTGTGAGCTCTGATACATTCACACCTTGCAGCAATTACTCAAAATGCCAATCAGCTACCCAACTCATCCTCTCCTCCCTCCACACCTCCAAACTTCTGATATTATTAGTTATAGCATTTTGGGCAAGGTTTGGGTCAAGAAGGCTTTCCTTTTTTGGTTAAAAAGTCTAATGGGGAAATGGAAGAAGTAGTAGAAGCCTATGAAGGCTCACCAAAATTGGCATTTGTCTGTTGAAAGTTTGTTCATCGCTTCCTCCCCCAGCTAAGACCCCAAGAATTCATGAACAGACAGCTAAGAAGGTAGTTCACTGTATCAAATTCTAACCAATGTTCTAGGTCACAGAGACAATTCAGACCTAGTTACTGCCCAAGGATATTTTATCTGTCCTGAAGATGAAACTTCATCTAACATCTTGGAAGTCACATGGCAGTCTTGCTTGTCTACAAAAAAAGTTTCAAATTTGGCCTTGAGGTTGAAACAGAGAAAACCGACAGTGACATCTTATAAATGAAAAAGAAAATTCAAATCCCATACATGTGTACTTAGAAGGAAGTCTCCCTGTGTTTGGTGAAGCCTATTTGCAGATAAATGAGTCCAGGATGATAAGTTTAGCTCTTTAGATTCATTAGAAAGAACTGATGATATTAGGCGTTACGTTGCCAAACTGAATACTTTTGAACTAATGGGGTCTATAGTTAGGAATTTATACATTCACATTTTGCCAAGCAAATCTGAGCCATCTATCCATCTTCCTCTACCAAATTCATTTAAACACTATTGCAGCCATCCCTTTTGGTTCCTACCTAGAGCAGCAGAATAGTGATGGATCCAGCCACCGAGCCATGAATGAAGAAAAGTTGGCCATCTTCTACCCCAGGCTTCTGCTGTGCATTTGCTCTGGAAGGAATTCAGGGGATTTGGGACTGCAATCACTGGTACATCAGCAAATTCCTGAGTTTTCCTAGGGGTAGACTTTTCTGAACTACACACAGTAATTCCCCCCCAATTCACTTGCTCCTCCTTCTACCTCCTACCTGAATGAAGAGGAAGAAAAACCCTCTCCTTTGCAGTTGGTCAATTGCCCCTTCTTTCCCCTTATGAGAAAGGATAACATTAATAATTTTAATTTTCTTTTTTTCGGAAATATGCCATTTGGATTGCAGGGATCCTGGTGTATGGCAATTAGGAGTTCTTCTCTTCTCCTCCAAAATGCAAAATCCAAACATATTTCATTGGAAGGATCCTTTTGATAGAAGAAGGCTAAATCACTGAGATGAAACAGGAAAGTGTTGACAATCTCCACCCTGGCTCCTGTTTGCTCATTCCAAATTCTGTCTGTGAGTAGGTGGGATACCGAGCAACAAATAGACAGAAAATTCTGAGTGGGATCAATGGATCTGATTATATAAATGTTTTTCCTGAGTTACTGATTTCCCTTTTCCACAAAGCAGAGATTCTCCAAAGTAAACAAGGGGTACTACCAATAAACAAGTAAAATGAAAGTAATGTCTTCCATGTCCTTTTTTAAAGGGAGGAACACACATAGTCCTTTCCATCTTCATCATTCCATTGTCACTGTTCCTACCCCAAGCCCCCTTCACTAGTTCTCTTCTGGAGATGGCCATGTTGAGGGAGAGTAAGCAGCTTTCTCTCTCCTAGCGTTCTACAGTTGTTTGGACCACAATGTTTGATGGTAGAATCCAACCTCAACATAACTGAGGGCCCCTGGACACCTACTTAGTTGAAATAATTGGTAATGTTTGTAATCCAGTATTGGTGCTGAGTTGCTCTGTAGCAAAGAATTTAAAAAGCCAGCCATGTTGATAGGACAGATGAAAAGATGGTCTCTTCCATCAGGACCTTACTTTCCAGAATGAGTAGGTCAGTAGCAAAGGGAAAACAGAACAAAGCAAAAAGAGGGGGGGGGATGTTGAGAGAACCTGTCACGATCAGCAAAGCGCGACATTTTTATGATATATATTTTTTCTCAACTTCTGAGCCAGGACGTTAATTACAACCCTGATTGTGCAAATCCATGGCAACGGATTGAGGAATGTGTAATTAAAGCCCAACAAGCAGGGAGCCAAGTGCCTTTCTGAGCAAATTTTGGTTCATCTAAGCAGAAGGGATAGGTGATGATTCCATCCTGGATACAAAAGAGTATTAATAGAAAGACGCGTGGCTGGTTTGAAGGATGATAATGTTTGCAGAAGTATTCCACATAGGAAGGAGAGACACTTTGCAGAGGAACAGAAGGACCAGCATCTCCCTGTTGGCCTTGGCTTGAATAAAACTCATGAAGACATTTTTAGAAACATATTAACAGAAAGTAGAAGAAAAAGGAGGTACCTCAAAGAATGAAGTAGGAGATTAAGAAAAGTCAAAACTCTCGTAACGTTGTTTGGTGTTATTTGTTTGGTGGCAAAACCATTGAGAAATTTCCTCCAGGCTTTTAGAAGGATGAGGATCACCACAGCAGGTTGATGATTCAAAGCAGGCACTCCAAATTGTAGAGGAAAGTCAGGCTAGGCTGGGCTGGGCTGAACCCATAACTCAGAAGATCTGTTCTGTTAGAGTTCATACTCTAGATGACAAAATCACATCTGGCTGATCTCCCTCTACTGGGCTTTGATTCAACCTGGCATTTGTCCAGTAGGACTGTCATGGGGCTCTCCATCCCAGGTGCCATTGAACAGTGCTGACTCAAGTCCCCCCTAGAGATAAC